AATAAATACAGTGAGTCCTCCACAGGTTTTCCATTCTTGGATTTAACAAACTGCTGATTGTTGAAAACAATATTTTCTGTCCATGGTTGGGAATCTGCAGATGTGGAGGACTGACTATATGCATTACTCCATTTTATATAAGGGACATGAGCATCCGTGGATTTTGGTATCTGGGGGGGGGGGTCCTGGAACCAGTCCCCCCATGGATACCAAAGGCCAACTGTAGTTAAGTTTTGGGGAAGTAAAAGTTCTAGGTGGATTTTTGACTGTGGGGGTTGGTGTCCCTAACTCCCAGTTGTTCGATAGTCAACTGTATACATTCGTGACATACTTTTCTTTCAAGATCTTCACCTTCCTATAAAGGTAACTAATTTAAACTGCAGTTTGTTCTCATTTATCTTAACCTAAGATTAAACTTACTCAAAGAAAATTCTCAAAATTATACTTGAGGGAAGAATGATTGAAAAAAAGAGTAGAAAAGTATTATTTTTAGAAATATTTAGAAACCACTTATACTGTCATTTTACAACAGCCTAAGATGTATTTTTCAAAAACTAACAAATGAGACTTTTGTAATAATGCAACGTTTCACTTTTCAGCTTTTAACTTAGAAATACAAAAGTATAATTAAAATGTTACTCTTATCCTGCTATATTCTCCAAGTCCTTGTACTTTTATGAGGAACAATAAAGTACAAAGTTATGAAAAACATATTTCCTAAGCTCTTTTCCCTCTGTTCAGCAGCACCTACTCTAGGTTATGCTTATCCTCGAAATGGCACTGAAGGGCCTCCACAGGCACGGTGCCTCAGCTCCTCCTAGTACAACATTTCACATACAGAAGGTCCCAGTGGACAAAGGCTCTACTGTTTGAAAATATTTTTGCCGTCCAAAAAAACAAAAATAACACCTAAATACATTAAACAGCTCTCTCTTTGCAACTAATAGATAACATTTCTTCCTTACAGGTACCAGAGATTTGAAAAGGCATTTCTGCTAGCTGTTGACATTGGTGCCCGCGACCTGTTTATGGTGAGTCATTCCCGGAGATGATTTTGTGCCTTCAGTTCTAAGGCTGAGTAAGTTGTCAGCTTTTGTGACCATTAAAAGAGATTAGTGTCATTTGTGCCCTGGACACGTGGTGGGAAAGCATTATTCCATCTTGGCTTGCAGCTTTGCCTTCATGAAACTGGTCAATAGCCATCTAGTCTCTTTTGACTTGTTGACATTTTCCTTCCCAGAGCCCAAAGGATTTTTTATGTTTTCTAAGAATTTATAATTCTTGAACTTTTCTCCTCATGTACCTTGATGTGAGGAGATGACACCTTTCCATCTAATAAGCTTAAATGTCCTTCTAATCCTTTCTCTGAAGAAGTACAGCTATGGGAGCTAGGACATAGGGCAAAACATATCCCATACATCTTGAATGTGCTGTTTGTCCCTTAGATTTTAGTGCAAAGTAACAAATTATGAATGTTCTCATTTGTATTTTTAAAGTACCACAGTGTAAAGTAGACCAAAGAGGTTATAAATTCATATACACTTTAGTCCTCCCACTTATTAGCTACAAACAGTAAAACTGACCAGTTTCTTACAGATCCTTGTGTTCTATTATCAGGTTCTTACTTTATAAGATATTTCACCACAATGTCACAGTGAGATCAGATGAACAAAAAACGTGGGGTTCCTTCCTGGTTTCCCAGTGTTTTCAATGTTGTCAAACAATAAAACCAAAGCTTCTTCAAAACAATAAAAACTGGAAGGCTCTTTCACCTGAATCTTCTGTGCAATGAAGACATTTTGTAGTTTAAGCTTTGATGCTTTAGACATTAAATATGGATTCATGACATTAGGTCACTTGTCTTCGGATTGAGTTTATTTAAATTCTAACTTTGTAACATTCAATTAAATTGTTCTTTCACTGATCGTGAAAAACACCTTTCTAATTATTTGTCATTTGTATTTTGTAATGTGAAATTGAGTAAGCATATTAGTATATTGGAGTAAGGTTTTATTTTCACCAAAAACAAAAATCTGTGCATGCTAACACATCACAGTGTCAGAAATTTAATTACAACAATTTTTAGATTTTCTGATTCCATTGACTTTTCCTCTTTATCTCCACCTTCTCACCTCTGCCGCTACTCACCCCAGTAAGGTAGATTTTCTTCAAGTCTTTATTTTCTTTTATGTCGATAGTCCCAATCTTTTCCTAGCCAAGGTAAGAACTGAAGGGATTGAATATTTAAATGTATAGTTTCTGGCAAATTTTCTCAATTTATTATATTGTTGTGTAATTCCTACTGCTTTGAAGATTAATACATGATCATCAAAGCCATCTTCTAAACTTTTAAAAAAAAATCATACCTGTTTCAGCATTTAGTCTCAGTTTAGCTAACAACAACATAAAGAAACCTTCATGTTAGTTTAAATCTCTAGTCCAAAAAGCCTTTCTACTGATAGGCTAACCCTAACCCATAGGATTTTTATGTGTAAAAGATAAGAACCTAAAATAACGGAAGGAGAGAAATAGGTTTATTTTCCTTTTTATTTGTAAAAGTGAACAATCACTGTCAGAAAGCTGCATCCTTATTCTTCATATGTAACTTATTTATAGCCCAAGGTAGGTCTTAAGGAAGCATTAAGAGCTTTAAGAGAGCATTATGGCCTCAACATTCCCATTTAAGCTCATGAATCTTCTATATACATTTGAGGCTCCACGTTGAAATTGTCTAAAAGAATTTATCATGTTTTCTAATAGATCAACTATTCCTATTTAAATGATCATTTAGCCAGAGGACTACAGGTCTAGCCAAAAACTGAGAAATATCACCTCTTTGAATTTAAAAGTTTATAAAACAAACAGGATTATCCCTATATATAAATGATTTACCACTCCCAAGATCTCTTTTTCTAAAAGACTAAAATTAACACTACATGGAACACAAAGGGGTCACCAAAAAAGTGTATTAGTTAATCTGAAAATAGCCTTTTTGCAATAGCATCTGTCAGTGGTAAGGATAAGACATATAGCATGATATCAACAGACCTCGAATATTGAAGAGTCAATATGAACGTGTTAGACCTGAGGAAATGAGCCTGAAATGACCCACTTTTTGTTTTCTTTTCAGTGTAGCATAAGTGATCATCTAAACTAGGTGTCAGCAAACTTTGGCCTGCCAGCCAAATCCAGCCCAAGAATGGTTTTTTAGTTTTAAATCATTGAAACATATCAAAATAATAGTATTACATGACACTTAAAAATGTATGATATTTACCCAGTAGGGGGCGTGCAGGAGGCAGCCAATCAATATGTGTGTGTCTCTCTCTCCCCCTCCCTCTTGCCCTCTCCCTTCCTCTCAAAAAACATATTTAAAATATATATGCTATTCAAATTCAAATTTCAGTGTCCACAATGAAGTTTTATTGGAACACAGCCAAACTCACTTGTTTATGTACTGCTTATGACTGCTTTCGCTCTACTATGGCAGAGTTGAGTAGCTGCAAGAAACCATATGGCTTGTAAATCTTAAAATATTTACTATCTGGTTCATTACAAAAAAATTTCGCAGACTCCTGGTCAAGACAGTAATAATTTATTATTTCCTTCCTTTTTTAAAACCCTTTAGTAGCTTCCCATTGCCTTTGGGATAAATTCTAACTCCTTAATATGTGATCTAAGGCCTCTCCAGTCTCAACTCTCTGCTTCCAGCTACATCATCTTTCTTTCAGTTCTGGGAAATATATTGTACTCATTATATCCAGACCATGTTAAAGAGTTTAGATTTATCCTTACCCCAAATCAGTCAGGCGTAATAGGAAATATATGAAATTTGGGTTAGAAGTTTCCTTCAAGGTTAGTAACTTTGGAGGTATTTTTTTACATGTAATAGATAATAATATAGTGCCTACTCATAAGGTTGTTTTGAGTCTCAGTGAGGATAATGTAACGAAAGTACTTTATAAACTGGGAAGTATTATACAGATACCATGTGTTACTATATTACTGTTGAGACAGGACCACTGTCGTTATTACATGGCTATAGCATAAAATAATGAAAACCTGGAACAGGGCATGAATTATACAAATGTAAAGGAGAGAATATTTTGTAAGCAAAATAAATATGATTTAGCAAGCCCTTAGATGAAAATAAAATATTTTAAGAATACTATAATAAAATAATATCACAAAGTATAAAGAACAAAGCAAAAATCACTTGAAATACTCCTGTCCAAAAATGAACATCCTCTGCCTCCCCATGTGAATATACACATACACTATATTTTTCGTTTGCAACTTGATTTTTTAATCAACAGTGTGACATCATAGACAGTTTTCCAATATCAAAAAACATAGGTCTGTACCATTACTTTAATCTTTACAGTGTATTCACTCTGTGGTTTGTACTGGCATTAAAAACAGGCATATAGCCCTGGCCAGCTGGCTCGGTTCGTTGGAGTGTCGTCCCAAACACCAAAAGGTTGTGTGTTCGATTTCCAGTCAGGGCACATACTTAGGTTGCAGGTTTGATCCCCGGTTGGGGTGCATACCAGAGGCAGCTGATCAGTGTTTGTCTGTCTCTCTAAAATCAATTTTAAAAACGTATCCTCTGATGAGGATTTAAAAAAACAAAACAGGCATGTAGACCAATGGAACAGAATTGAGAGTCCAGAAATAAACCTGTGTATCTATGACTGGGAATCAAACCAGCGACCTCTTGGTGCATGGGTTGATGCTCAACCACTGAGCCACATTGGCTGGGCTAATTACTAAAATTTATGTCAATCTAGCTGTGATATAAATTATTAAAAATATTTCCTTATCTTGAAAATTACTTTTTCCTCACACTTACAAAATATGAAAATTCTGAAATATTAACACATTTCAGAAACAGTATTTTATTCCTAACTCTTAAAATTTCTTATTGATCAGATTTGCCCTATGAAATGTGATTTTTTAATAAGTAAAACAGGAATGGTATCAACATTTTACTTTATCTTTACTTGAAATAGAGCATCATGAACTTGAATGTTCTGAAAACAGAACTTTGGCAAAACTTAACCTTGTAAAGCTGAAGGTTATGAATTTAAATTTTGAATTATCAGTTGATTTTAACTAAGTAAAATATTATAGTAGGGAAGGCTAGAACATAGTCATCTTAAATATGTGTATGGCCATTTTATAATTTACCACTTGCCAGGTTGGCATCATTTGGTTGTTGTATGTATTTGTAAGTGCTTCTGTGTATCATACAAACCTATGAATCCTCAGACTTTATGAAAATTAGAAAAGGTTATAACATTAAAATGTTATAATAGTTATTATTGTCAGTGACTGATCCAAAGTATGATTTCAAGATGAAAACCTAGTCAAGATTTTTTAGCTTTAAATACTTTTTGTTGTAAATTTGCATATTCATTCTGGTATATACTCAAAGTTATCTGTGAAGGTAATGAGAACCCAGGAACAACACGTTTTTTATTTTAGATCTTAGATGATAGGATATGGGTAAACTTAAAGCCTGGATCATGACCAAAGATTATCAGTGTTTGTTATCTTTTGTTCAGAGGAAGCCAGTTGCACTTAATAGTGCTAAATGATGATACTAATAAATCATTTTAGCAAATGGCAAACTATAAAATTGTCACTGACAAAGAATGACAGAAATTAAATGGTTTGTTCTTCTGAATATTTTTCTGAAAACTTGTTTCCAAGATAGTAACACTTTTATAGTAAAACCATCCACCAACTAAGTAACCCTGGTTGTGTAGACGTAAAGCTTGGGAGGTACCAATGCAACACTTTTCAAATCCATTGCCATCTGTGTTGTCCATTTAGACTTGTTATATGCCATTTTAATCTTACACACTAAGTCTCCAAAAAGAGACCAACAAAACAAAAACAGGTCTTCTTGTGCCTTATGTCTCCCAGACACATGATTCTAAACAATTAAGCATGTGGTAACATAGTCTACTAGTATGTGAGAACCTTGATGGTTGGGCATCAGGGGTAAATCCATATTTTATAGTGC